CACTTCCTCCTCCGTCTACATTCTCACGTTTACTTCCTTTTCCCGTTCTAATAATCATCTTCCATTTTTACCATCGTTCTCTATGGTTCGATTTCTCGATCATTTTATAAGGCACTACATCAACCATCCAGCTCCCTCCCCCGCCCCCACCCTTTTGGCCTCCGATGCTTCTTATATACTTGTCATTAGCGATTAATGATGTAACCGAAGTGTTTCCCCATCGATAAAAGTCACGAATAAATTAGGTCAAGTAAAATTATTATTCGAATAATTAAATATACATATGTATGTACATAATCGACTTTCATTTTTTATAATCCTCACAAAACCTTTTTTCTAATAGTCGGAAGAGTGATTTGATCTGGATTCAAATAATCTCTATTATGTATAATAGATGAATGTGCTTGTTTTTGCATCTGTGTGTGTGTGCTTGTGTGTGCGTTTGCGTTTGCGTTTGCGTTTGCGTTTGCGTTTGCGTTTGCGTTTGCGTTTGCGTTTGCGTTTTATTCGATGGAATATTTCATCGATGATCCTTCATTTCTTCTTTTTATTTCTTTTTTTTTTTTTTGCCTTTTTTTAAATTTCCTTTCTCTCTTGCTCTCTCGTGATAATATGATAACGTGCACACACGTACTCATCTCCATTAGCTTATTAAATATTCCATCGAAGGATATCGAGAACTAATTTTTCTGACCTCGTTTTTTCTTCTTCTTTTTTTTTTCTTCCTCCCCCAATCCCCTCCTCCGTTTTCCTTTCTTTTCACTTCTCTCTAATAAGAATACGTAACACGATCTATGTATAGAAAAAGAAGAAAAAGAAAAAGACGAAGAAGGAGATGAAGATGAAGAAGAAGAAGAAGAAGAAGAAGAAGAAGAAGAAGAATTTCTAGGGTATACATATAAATCACGAAGAGAGAAGAGTTCATGATTCATCGTGAAAAGTCGACAAACTTGTAGTTTTATTTTTCAGAACGAAAAAACGAGGAAGTGTGTCTACACCGATCCGTTTCTCCCTCTCTCTCTCTCTCTCTCTCTCTCTCTCTCTCTTTATAAATATATATATATATATATCTAGAGTTGTTTATTCTAAGCCAAGAAACAAGAGAAACGAGGGAGGCGTGCTGATATGATTGATGGTAGGTTTTGTCGGGGAATCAGCAGGTGTCTCGCTGAAGACTGCTGAGTAATTCATCGCGTGTGTACACCTTTACCTGCTTCGAGAGGAACCAGAGGAACAAGGAAGACGAGTATGTGAAACGAAAGAGAGCAAGAGAGAGAGAGAGAGAGAGAGAGAAAGAGAGAGAACGAGAGAGAGAATAACAGAGAAACAAAGTATCAATAATTGATCACTTTGCTCGATCATACGTTTTAATCTTTCAATTTCTTTACTTTATTTTCTTCGTCGAAGTTCGCTTAGATAAATCTTACAACATTAATCTCATATAATATTCATATAATTTTTAACTTTACATAATTCCATTATCATATCGTATTCAAAGATCTATATTAACCTAAGTTTAAAAGTTATAATTGATTATATTTGATTTGGTTTTATTTAATTTATATAATTCATAGAATACAAATATATATGTATATATATTTTTTTTTTTTTTATATAGATATATATGTACCTAAAAAAAAAAAAAAAAGAAAAAAAAGGTGTAAGGATATAAATTCGTATATTTATTTTCTTTCATTTAATGAAGATATCAATCATAATTTGGATTAAAATAAGTTATGGATTTTGATCGTAGAGTAGTTTGTTTATGTTTTCGTATCGCTACATTTTTTTTCTTCTTCTTCTCTCTTTTTTTTTTTTTCTTTTCTTCTTCTTTTTTTTTTCTTTTTTTTTTTTCTTTTCAAGTTCTCCGAAGACAAGTTCATTGATTTTTGTCGAACTAATTTATAAGAGGAGAGAGAAAATTTTGTTGGAAAGTTTATCTTTTAGAGTAAGAAGAAGTGAATCCGTACTTAGAGTGACACTTTCCTTCAAGAACAGATAACGATCGAGAAAAGTTGGTTGAACGGCAAAGCCGTCAGAAGCTATTTCACGTCATACGGAAAATCCTCGAGAAGCTTACTCGTGTAAATACAACTGGACACTCCTTACATCCGTTTGGACACGTTCATACATACTATACATACCACACACACACACACACACACACACACATATATATATAATATACGTAGAAATACATGTAGGTAGATAAAGATACATATGTATATACATAGAAACGTATAGAGAGTTGAAATTTCGTGACAGTCGATATCCGATCCAATTTACCGAGTAATTTCAGAAAACGCTGCGGGATATATCGAAGGCATTGATTCTTATCGTCCCACCGATATATTTTCTTATTATTTTTGTCACATTTCTTTAATATATCAATTCTTTACTTGACAGTATAATTTGACGATTTTCATGAACGAAACGATCACGTCAAATGTCCTTTTTAAATTTCTTTCTTTTTTTTTTTTTTTCTTTTTTTTACACATGT